TCCAGCGGCCGCCCCGGCGGCGTTGGCGCCCTCCTCGGCGGCCCCAGCGGCGACGGCGGCGTCGGCGCCCTCCTCGGCGGCCGTCCCAGCGGCGTGCAGCAGGTAGGCCACCGTGGCCTGGAAGCCGGCATCCCGCTGGCTCCCGTTGGCCACGCAGGCGTCAGCGCGGGGGGTGGCAGGGGGGGCCACCGACGGCGCACGGCCTGCAGCCGCGGGCGCGGCCCCGAGGACGGAGAGCGCCCGCTCGCGCCCCAGGACGGTCGGCGTGCATGCTGAGCCCGCCAATGCCCGTTGGGTGCTGTCTGTGTAGGCCGTGCGCCCGCAGGCAAGGCAGACCAGGCTTTGGCGCTCATGGCACAGAGGATGGGGGCAGACGTATAACTCGTGCTGGATGATGGTCAGCTTGGGCGGGCCCCAGGGCGGCCGGGGCACGATCGCGTCCTCCGAGTCCCAGAGGCCAGAGGAGGAGACCTGCACGGAGGCCCACACGTAAAGCTCCACGACGCCGAGCACGTGCTGCAACCGACCTAAGCTTGAGGCTCCGCGCGATCCCTGGCGCAAGCCCGGCCTGCCACATGGCCACCGAGGCGAACCAGTCTCCCATCGCATTGCCGATCCAGTCGATGAGCGGCACGCCGCGGTGAAGCGCCTCCTCGGCCGTGAGGTGAGAGGGCACCCAACGAAAGTCGGGTACGGCAGTGTCGGCGCGCCGCGCAATTGCGCAGCGCAGTCGCCGCCAAAGCTGCGCGTGAGTGCCCAAGATTCACAGGGGCTTGAGGGGCGCAGGGGCTTGAGAGCGCACATCATTCGTATTTTCAAATGATTTGATGCGTCCCAGTTGCGTGTGGGGCAGGGAATGCGTGAGGGATGCGTCGAAATGGCAGTGTCGTAGCCATGAAGGCGTGGACCATTCGTCCTTTTGCGCGCCCCAGCAGGAAATGCGTGAAGGGTGCGCTGAAGCGAGGCTTTCGCAGCCCTGGTGGCGCATCTCCTCCTTTGTATTTTTACGTGTCCCAGGAGCTGTCACGCGCGTGAGCCCAGCGCCGGGAGCACGTTTCACTTGTATTCTGACGTGTGTTTGGCCCCCTCCTTCCTGCATGGTGGCACACTTCGCTTCAACGGCACCCCCGTGTGGGCCTTGCCGCTAGCGCAGACGCCCCCCGCCTCGCCGCCGACGCACAACAAGTATCTCTACGTGTCCTCAGGAGAGTGGATAACTCGCCCGGCGGAATGCGCGGGGCCGCGCTCTTTGCATGCCATTTTGCATGCTTCTCAGCGTCCTTCATTGATGGGCCCGTCTTCCACCACCACCGCCATAAGTTAGAGGGGGGAAGGAGGTGGAGGAGGAGGAGGAGGAGGAGGAGGAGGAGGAGGAGGAGGAGGAGCAGGAGGAGGAGGAGGAGGAGGAGGAGTGCCATTCGTTACACTCTTTTTCTTTCTCGGGGCCCGCTTGGCGCCTCTTGGGGTGGGGGGCAGGCGGCGGAGTCAGCCAAGGGCCCCTGTGTGAACGCCCGCGGGCCACGGCGTGCGCGAGGGGCGTGCCGGATCGAGGCTCCCCGGAACCGTTGGAGAGGTCAGCTTCGGGCCCTTGGGGTTCCAGAAGGCTAAAAAAAGCGTGAGGGGTGTGCCGAATCGAGGCCCACCCTAGCCGTCTGGAGGGCCGCGGAGCGCCCCTGGAGGCCCCTGTGGCACGAAATGCGCGAGGGCCGTGCCACACTGAAGCCCCAGGGGGCAGTCTTTGGGGCCGGCTGAGCTTCCACGATGCACGGGGTGCTCGAGGGGTGTGCCGGATTGAGGCTCTGGGAGAATTATGATGCGTGGTCCTCGTGTCTTACGTGTCTCAGAGGCCTGTGTGTGTGGGGGGGGCGCAGGAACTGCGTGATGGGTGCGCCGCAACGAAGTTGTCGCAGCCCTGAGGGCGCATCTCACTCTATTTTTATGTGCCCCAGGAGCTGTCACGCACATGAGCCTAGTCCTGGAAACACATTTCGCTAGTATGTTTACATGCCCCAGCAATCTGAATACACACTTGCCTCATCGAAACATTTTCGTGCCAGCAAGATGCGCGAAGCCTCTCTTAGCATGCCTTACGCGTGCCATCTCATCATCTACGCTCGACTGCTAACATGACCAGGAACCGCAGGGCCCCTCCAAATTTCATTCGCTTCGCTCAGTAAGCTGGCGCATGATGTATCACTGGTGCTTAGATGTTGGTGTGCTCGTGGCGAGCGAGGAGGAGGAGGAGGAGGAGGAGGAGGAGGAGGAGGAGGAGGAGGAGGAGGAGCAGGAGGAGGAAAAGGAGGAGGAGGAGGAGGGGAGGATGAGAATGAGGCCTCTCGGTGGTTTCTTGGGGCATTCTTGGGGCCAAACTGGATCGTGGACAGGGCACCTTTTTGGGAGGCTTCTTGGGGTCTCTTGGGAGGCCTCTCGGCGGCCTCTTGCTTGTATTTTTGGGACCTCCTGGGGCCTCTTGGGGGTCCTCTTCGGAGACTCTGGAGCCCTCTTGGGAAGCCTCTTGGGCTGTCTTTGGGCCCTCTTGGGGAGCCGTCCTGAGAGCCTGTTTGTTTGACTTGGGGCGATCTTGGGGGACTCTTGGGCCATCTTGTGCGGTCGGAAGCCCCAAAAAGCGGTAACGCCCAGATGATACCTAAACCAAGTCAAGGCAATTAGCCTCTGGCTGCTCTCTTGGGCCTGTCCATGACCATCTTGTGGCTATCGTGAGGCCTCTTGGGTTTGTTTTCGGGCCATCTTCTTGTGGCCCGCCATCTATTGATCCCTACTTTTGGGGCCCTCGTGGAGCTCCCTCTCTTGGGGCCCTCCGGGGGCGATATTTAGAGGCCCGAAGACCGCCCAGCATCTGTGAGACGGTCCGCCCAAGAGTTGCCTGGGGTCCGCCCGGGGTGCTTTTCGTCCAGGGATCCCCTGGGCCGGCGAATTGGTTTCTCTTATGTGTCTACCTACTTTTTATATGTGTGTATATATATATATATATATATATATATATATATATAATATGGATGAATACCAGGTCCCCGGCCCCGGGGCTCCGGCCTACCCCCGGGACATCCGGGTCACGCCCGTGTTACCCCCCCCGGGGGCTCCAAGACGGCCCAAGAGGCCCTCGAGACGGCCCAAGAATATTCCAAGACGGTCCAAGAGGGCCCAGAGTCGCCGAAAGATCGGTCCAAGACGCCCATGATGGCTTCCAGACGACCCAAGACGCCCCCAAGAATCCCCAGAGGCCTCCAATAGGCCTCCCAAGACGGCCCCGAGAGGCAGAAATCGTTGATTTTTCATTTGTTTTTTCTGTGTTTTTTGGTTTCTCGCTCTGAGGCTCCAAGACCGCCCGAGAGGCTCCCAAGACTGCTCCAAGACGGCCCAAGAGAGCCCCAAGACCGCCCCGGATCCGCCCAAGACGGCCCAAGAGTGCCCCAAGAAGGCCTCAGAGGGGCCCAAGAGAGTGAACACGAACCGAAAAATCGAGCTCTCCGCCCGAAGATGCCCCCATGAGAACCCAAGAAGCCCCCAAGACACGATCTGACCGCTCGCGGGGACCCCATTTCGGTCCAGGGGAGATGGTTAGGGGCAGAGGTACCCTCCCCGAAGGGGTAGAGGGAAGGGTGGAGGGAGGAAACGCGCTTAACCACCTACGCACAGAGAGCTGGTGGGATTCTCTTTGCAACTCCTCTCATCCCCTGTTCTGTCAAACGAATGTTCTGCCTGTGCTGCCCTAGAACCTAAGCGCGCGCGAAGCGCGCGCGTGGTTCTAGTGTATATGTCTATGTATAGATATAAACATGTATACTTGTATGCCTTTGGAGTGCGCCCGATGTGCGGCTATCCACTGTGATCCCCAGTCCGCGATCTGTGGGGTGCAGACACCAGCCAGCGCCGAGGCGGCCACGTGGCGGCCACGTGCTCGGCATCGCTCGGACGTGTGCATCTTTTCCTCGGCGAGGACCATCGAGGAGCATCCTCGATCATTTGGCGAAAAAACCACGCACGAAACCGGAAAAAGCACAGGGAGTGGACGTCCGAGCCATGGCGAGCGGGCGGGGACCGGGCCGGAGACCTGGAGCGCCCGGCCGGGGCGCCCCACGGGGCGGCCTCGGGGCGGCCACGTTCAGGAGGGGAAAAAAACACACAGACACAATTAATCGTCGACTGCCCAGAAAATATGGGAAAATATGGGAAGTGAGGGGGAAGACAAAAACCCAGAAAATATGGGAAGATATGGGAATCCTTTTATTTGTGTGTATTTATTTGTGTGTCCCGGGGCCCCCTCACACGTGCGGCGACCAGCCGAGGAGCCAGAAAGCACGGCCAGCACGCGAGGCGACCGCGAGGCGGCCGCGAGGCGGCGAGCAGCAGAGGGCCCGCCGAGGCCAGCCAGCGCCAGAGGCGGCCGCGAGGCGGCCGCGGGCGGGGAGCAGCGGAGGGCCCGGGGCAACCAGCCAGCGCACGGGGCAGCTCAGGAGGGACAAGAAACACACAGACGCAATTCATCGTGGAGTCCCGCGAAAATATAGGAAGATATATGGGAAGTGGGGGGGAAGACAAAACCCCCAGGAAATATGAGAAAATATGGGCAATCTGGTTATTTGTGTGTGTGTGTATTTATTTGTGTGTCCGGGTGCCCCTTCAGTAGCCACGAGGCGGCCGCGGGCTGCGACCAGGCAGAAGCTCACAGAACAGAGCAAACAAAAAGATGAACCTTTAGCGCAAACATTGTGTATGAAGATGGAGATTGCTTCACTGCTCGTTTCTCCGCGTTTTTGTACCCATCCCTTTTGCCCCCCCCCCCCCCCTCTTTTTTTTGTTTCTTCTCTCTCTCTCTCTGTCCTGTGCTCTTGCTGCGATACAGTGCTCGTAGACCGAAATCCACTCGATGTTGCACTTCTCTGCCTGCGTGATCTTGCAGCTCTCCTCTGCCTTTGAAGCCTACCCATCCTCCCAATTGATAGCGTCGCGCCTCCTGATCCACGCTTTTCGGTTTGCAGGAGCCTTTGGCGAACCAAGAGTTCAACGTAGACATTTTGGGACGCCACTTTGTACCTCCCTTGTTCGATATGTTCTGTTGACCATTCGTATCTGGATCACGCACTCCGCCCATCAGTTGCAGCAAGGCGAGCAGCCTCGTTCTGCTCAGCAGTGGCTCCGACAGGGTGTTTGCGCTGGGGATCAGACCAGTGTAACAATACGACAGCCGTACATGTCCAGTTCACGCTGCGACAACATGGGGGCAACCAACGTCAGGATTCAGTTGAACACTGCTCATGATGTAAGAGTGCAGTGATCAGTCCTGTTTTCGTTGCTTCCCAAATCTTGGTACTGGAGCGGGGGCCGCAGACAAAACATTCAATGACCAGCAACGGTTGCCCACGGGATGTTGTTTATGCTACCATCGATTCGCTGTCGGCGTCGCCGCGGGCTGTGCCACACATAGGCCGCTGTTGGTTCGGGGCAACACTTTTTGTTCGGCATTGTACACATTTGTTCCGTACCCATTTCGGGCGTCCAAATCGATCACGCTAGTCAAGGTCACCCGGGGGGCGCGAACATATTTGCGCCTCGCGCATCGCGGCTTGCTCTTCTCCAGGGCGGTTGTGCGAGGGTGCGAATATAATCGCGCGTCGCGCATCGCGTGGCGCGATGCGCGGCCATTGCGGGCCAGTTTCGCTTGATGGCCAGGCACCGTTCTGCGGCAGTTTCTGCGCAGGGCGCAGCGACCCTGTTGGGAGCGCGTCGTGGTCCCGTACAGCCAGGTTGTGCTGCGTTCTCTTGCCGCATCTCGTTCTCATAGGGTTCGGCTGTCTGTTCTGTTTGCAGGAGTGTCAGGCAAGATTCTGGTGACGGCTTGCTTGGTTGAGCAGGCCCGCTCTCTGCTTGCACGCGCAGCTCTCTGCCTATCGATGCTGTCTCTTTCCGTGCGCAGTGTCGCGTACTCTTGCTCTTGCTGTCTGCCTTACCCGTGTTTTTACCCGCACATCCTTCAATACCTTTCTCAAACATTGACCACCTTGCATGTCGTGTGTCCTTTGGTCGGTCGTTTTATTATGTTTTTTTTTTCAGTTCTGAATAATCTTATGTTGATCACCACCACCAGTGCTCATTGTCCTTTCTCAAATGGAGTGCGCCCCTGCGGGCTCGCACCCGGATTCTTATCACGGGAAGTCTTGATGCTCTAGTTTTGTTGCCCCCTGGTTTACCAAAAAAACAACGGCTCCAGCATGATACTGTGTCTCAGTTTCTCTAGATTGGCGCTTTCGCTCGAGGCTTTCTTACGATTTGCTCTGAAATCGCGCTCTCGCCGAGGACTTCCTTGCAACTTGCTCAGTCGCTGCGCACTCGACGCCCAGGAATGGCACTCTCGCCCGAGACTTCCTAACACCGTACCTCAGGACTCCTTCTCTCGCCTGAGGCTTCTTTGCAATCTACGAAGTTAGCTTTAATGCCCCGCCCGCCCGACCCGCCCGTTAGGACCCGCCCGCCCGGCCCGCCCGTGAGGGTCCGCCCGTTCGCTTGTTTGGAAGCCCGCCCGCCCGCTTCAATGTCCCGCCCGACCCGCTCATTTGGGTCCGCCCGCCCATCCCGACCCGCTTGTCAGGGTCCGCTTGCCAGAATTTCTGTCATTCTTTCTTCCCCGTGCTAAATCTTCTTCGCCCTCCCAACATACTGATACTATGCGTGCGTCGCCCCCCAGGGGCGACGCGCGCACCGAGAAATCTTATATTACATGCGTCCTGGCGGGCGCTTTCCAGCCACACTGCTCGGGAAACGATCTGCTACAAGATAGGTGAACCGGTATACTGCATGTCCGGGTTGGTCGCGCGCTTCCAAGAAGGACATATAGTATTAGTATGTCTTTGTGCGTCCCAACAAGGGCTCCTGCGTGATACTTCCTCACGATTTACTCCGAGAGCTCCTTGCCAGGAAGGCCCCCGATCTCAGGAACGGCGCTGTCGCTCGAGACTTTTTTGCAATTCAAGCAAATTGGTGGAGGCCCAGACACGGCGAAACGAGTTCCCGTTCGATATTTCTCCATACGTATTCCGGGAGCCCCTGGGGCGCTCTCGCTTGAGACTTCCTCGCGCTTCAGTCAGTGGCCGACAAGAAAGATAGTATGTCTCTGTGCGACCCACTCAATCCTCCTCCCTCGTCGTGCCCCTCTCCGTTCTCATCTTCTCCTCCGTTCCTCGCCCTGCCCGTTCTCATGTTCCCTCCTCCTCCTCCTCCTCATGCTTTGGGTGCCGCGCCAACCGCACGCGGCAGGCAAGCAAGATTCAGGAGGGGAAAAAACACACAGACACAATTAATCGTCGAGTCCCCAGAAAATATGGGAAAATATGGGAAGTGGGGGGGGAAGACAGAAACCCAGAAAGTATAGGAAAAGATGGGGAATCCTTTTATTTGTGTGTATTTATTTGTGTGTCTCAGGGCCCCTTCAAATGGGGATACGGTCCAAGACGAAAAGAGTGGGTATCGAAGGTTTGCGGGTGTACAGTGGGAGCCCATGCCAAGAAACACCCTGCTTGCCTGCAGGGTGCCCTGGGTTTCTTGGGTTTCGATGGTTTTGCGACGGAGAGCGTGACGTTCCCACACCAAACATCGATTGACGTCAGGGTTGGGTTTCTTTTGTGAAGGGTTTCTTGTGGACTGGCCTCCACTGTATCGAGGGTTTGGGGGTGTACAGGTTGAGTGGCACTCGGGCAATGAAGTGCGTGCAATCTTGACATGTATGTTGCTGTTGTTCTTGCTGTTGGTGCATCTTTCTTTGGCTTAGACAGGTGAACCGATCTGTATGCCAACGCCATTCGTGAGGCGTATGCTGTAGACTTATCGTTTTGAAGTCACTCCCACGAACATACGGAACAAGTATCGAAGACGCCTACGGCGAATCACCGCCGCCCCCTGCCTTCTGGAACCGTCTATGTGGCCGAACGTTGTGGCCAGAGCTCGGCCACGCTATCGGACTGCGTGTTTCCCCAGCCGTTCTGGGAACCCTTCGGGGAACATTTGGGGGAGTAAGAGAAGGAGGAGGAGAGGGCAGGACAAAGAGGCCTCTTGGGAGCGTGTGGTGCACTCTTGGGATCTCCTGGGCGCTTCCTGGGTGCCACTTGGAGGTCTCTTGGAGGCCTCCTTGGGCCTCGTGGGGGCGGCCGTTGAGCAATTCCCGCTCGTCTTGGGCGTTCCTGGCCCGTCTGACGCCGTCGGACGCCGCTTTGGGGGCCTCTTTGGGCCGACTTGGGGCCTTCTTGGCACGCTTCAGCGCCGTCTTGGAGGCCATCTTCGGCGTCTTGGGGGTCTCCTGGCCATCTTGGGACCCTCTTGGGCCGTCTTGGGGGCCTCTTGGGCCGTTCTGGGGCCGTCTTGGAGGCCTTTGGGGCGCTCTGGGCGCGATCTTGGGGGGCCTCTTGGGCCGTTTCGGGCCGTCGGAAGACTGAACAGAAGCAAATGTCAAAATCCTTCAACAACCCCAGCAAGATCAATGATTTCGGTGTCTTCGGGCTTTCCTGGAGGACTTCTTGGGGTCCTCTTGGGCCGTCGGGGAGGCCTCTTGGGAGCCTCTTGGGCCGTCTGGGGCCGTCTTGGAGGCTTCTTGGGCGAACTTGGAGGCATCTTGGACTCTCTTGGGCCGTCTTGGCTGCCATTTTGGACCAGCTTGGGCGAACTTGGAGGCCATCTTGGGCCATCTTGGAGCCACTTGGAGCAGAAAAAACCTTGGCGACCGGGTCTTCCGGGTGAACGGCGCGCTGTGCCGAAGGCCGATGGGGGAGCTCTAAAAGAACCACAAGCCTCAGAGCATCTAGCACGCCGGGCACCACTGCGGCAAGCCAACAGGGGCGGCGGATCTAGTGGCCTTCCGCCCATCCCGCCACCGTGCCTGTGTTGTGGGTCATAGGCCTCTTGGATGTTCGTTGGGATGTCGTTGGAGGCCTCTCGGGGGCCTCTTGGAGGCAGTTTTGATGCCTCTTCGTGGCTTTTTTGGGGCAAATTCGGGTCCTCTTGGGGCCTCTTGGGGCCTCCAGGGATCCTGGGGCTGAAAGCTCGAATTGTCGGCTGGGACCCCCCTGTTGGGCCCTACTTGTTGCCCTCTTGGAGCTGTCTTGGGTCGCCTGGGGCGCCTCGAGGGCCGTCTTGGGGCCCTCTTGGGCCGTCTTGGTTCCCTCTTGGGGGCCTCTTGGGCTGTCTTGGGACGTTCTCGGGAGCCTCGTGGGCCGTCTTGAACGCCGTGGAAGCCGACAAGTCGTATGTGTTAGATATGCACGTTTCCCTAAATCAATGTGACGTTTTTTGACTCTTGGGGTCTTCTTGAGGCTGCTCTTGGAGGCCTTCTGGGGCGTCTTGGGCGCGTTTTCGGCCGACTGGAGGCCATCTTGGGCGTCCTGGACCGACTGTTCAGCTATTCCGGGTCCTCTTGGACTGTCTTGGATTCCTCTTGGGATCCTTCTGGCCCGTCCTGGGGCTCTCTTTGGCTCCGGAAACGTCACGCGGGAAGGCGCGGGTGGGCCCAGAAGGCGCGCGCCAAGTCTTTAAATGGTCTTCAGGATGGAGGACTGGGGCAAACAGTCGGGGCGCTGAGGAAGGAACCCTTTTCGTTGGGGAGGGGCTCGGTGTTCCTTAGTTGTTTTGCAGTTCGCCTTTGGTTTTGCTTAGGGTTTCGATAGGACATCGAAGTTTAACTTATGGGAAAAAGGGGCCTCGTTCCTCATTTAGGGCTCCTTAGGTCAACGCCCCGACTGTAAGGGATTAGGCCAAGGACCTGATGACACTCCAACTCGTGCCTCAGGGCACGGTGGCGGACATTCGCCACAGAGCAACGCCAGGCAACCCGACAAAGCCATCGGCCTCCGTTCCAAGAGAATGTCGATGCTCCACGCGATCGAGAGGACGATGCGCATAGCACAGTCATGGATGCCAGCGCCTTTGGAGCGTCTTTCTGCGCGCGGCACCACCTGCGCCCTGCCCAGGGCGGAGCTCGCAGGATCGAGATCATGCTCTACCCCGTGGGCGCGCCGCTCCTGGGGGATCGGCGGGGGCCGAGGTGAGAGGTCCAGAGGGAGGCCCGGTGGGGGCCCTGCAAGCGGTGGGACGTTCGCGGAGCAGCGGCGACCTTGCCGCCTGCGACCCTACCTGCCCCACTCCTCTTACCGGGGGGCCTCAGCTCTCCCTGAGCTCGTCTGGATGAGGAGGAGGACGAGGAGGACGAGGAGGATTAGAAGGGAACTGCAAGGGATAGGCTGATGCTGTCGCTGTGTTTCTGTTCAGAGTTTCAGTCGTAATGGCATGTAGGACCTTCCCCATTGCAATCTTGCCCTCAGCCCTTCATTCATGGGCAGGAGAGCTGCTAAGCCGAACGAGAAGGGGGGGATGACCAGTTTGCTGGAAAACCCTTCGTGCCTAAGCACGCCGTCGTATACCAAGAAGGTCTCATCGTTCAGCACGGGCAACCTCTGGGGTTCCATGCGTGGCAGTCGTCGCGCCGCCGCACATGCTTCATTACCCTTCAACAGCCAGAAATGTGCCTACACACCACTTCACCGAACATGCACCGCGTCGACATTGGGCTCGTCGACCAGCGAAGCGGTAAAGAAGTCGCCTGGGCTCTCGCCGTGGGCAGATATGGCCAGGCTGCAACGTGCGGTCTCGCGGTGAACGCATCCCTGTTCGGACTGGTTTTGCTAGAACGCTGCTCG